GGTTGGGAAATTGTGAGTGCTCTATACATTAGAGAGCTAATGACAGAGTTCTTTTCAGAGGGGTGATGATGGGAAGTGGCATTCAGATACCCATCTGTGTGAGTTGGTTTGCGATATACTTGGTGGCCTAGAGTGGCATCCTCGTTGCGTCGAACCAGCACATCTAGAAATGGAAGACATCTATCCTGCTCAGTTTCCATANGGAAATTGTGAGTGCTCTATACATTAGAGAGCTAATGACAGAGTTCTTTTCAGAGGGGTGATGATGGGAAGTGGCATTCAGATACCCATCTGTGTGAGTTGGTTTGCGATATACTTGGTGGCCTAGAGTGGCATCCTCGTTGCGTCGAACCAGCACATCTAGAAATGGAAGACATCTATCCTGCTCAGTTTCCATAGTGAACTTGATGCTTGCGTGCTGAGTATTCAAGAACTCCAGGAACTGAGTTAGAGCAGTCTTGCCATGTGACCAGATGACAAAGGTGTCATCCACATACCTGAACCAAACAGTTGGTTTCTGAGACGCTGACTTTAATACTTCGTTCTCAAAATGTTCCATGAATATATTTGCAACAATCGGGGAGATGGGCGAACCCATTGCTGTTCCCAATTTTTGCTCATAGTATTCTCTTTCGAACTGAAAGTATGTAGAAGTCAAGCAGTGTTCAATTAAGGGAACAAATCGGGGGGAAAGGTCTTTGGATTTTTTGATGATTTCTAAGGTTTCTGGGATTGGGACGTTAGTAAAGAGTGATTCTACATCAAAACTCACTAGAATATCATCTGGCGAAGTCCTGAGATTACTCAGTTTATTGACGAAATCCAGTGAGTTCTGAATGTATGAATCACTCAGACCAGTCAACTTTTGGAGTGGTTTCGTGAGAAACTTAGCCAGTTGGTAAGTTGGCGCTCCAATGTTGCTAACAATAGGACTTGGGGGCAACAGCGAAGTTGTGTCCTTTCGCCAACACAGAAACTTGTGCTTCACTGAGCTCGTATTTCCTCAGATTCTTCACAGTGTGAGTGAGAGTTGGGACTTTTTCCCGGGGGATCAGCTTCTTGAACTTACCCTTCTGATTCTGTTCTCATCTCAGCTGTTCGGACTGCTGAACATAAGTAACACGATCTGGTTATAAGTAACACGATTAAGAGTCTCCCACAGCTGAAACTCTAACGTCTGAGCCAGGAGAAGGTGAAGATCGAGAAGCTGTCTGGAAAGATGGGCCAAGTTCTTCTTAACCGCTGTTATTCTTTCCTTGATCAGTCTCAGCGAAGCTTGGCGGAGGATGGCATTTGCCTGCTTCGAGGGAACAGGGTTCCTCAGACGGAGGAATTTTGGTACCACTTGACGGTCACGGCACCTTTTCGAAAAGGTCAGGGAGCACAGTTGGACGTGCAAGGACTTCCTAAGTTTGGTGCATAAATTCACCGACCCAAGAATAGCCTCTCCGTGGAGGCGTTTAATCTTAGTTTTGAGGCTTTCGCGGCCATTATTAATGACATTATTGGCTTCCGGATGGATGCCGCGTTTGGTTTCAGCATTGCGCCGACTTTTCACAAACATTGCAGTCTGCATCTTCAGGGCTATGAGCTCCGATTCTGAGCTCTGATGTCTGGGGGTTGTCCTTATATGTCTTCCTCTGTGATGGCGGGGGAAGGAGAAGGGGGGTCAGCCAATCATATGTTTTTAATTGATCAGCTGGAGGTTAGGCTGGTACGTGGCACAGCCACCCTAGGCGTTCTGCGACACAGAGGTTAGGATGCCTTGGTGGTGACTTGGTTCTCGAAATTTTCCCTCGTAGATAAATTAGATGACGGCTTGCAGCTTCTAATCATGAAAGCGCGACCACTCTGATGACTGGGGAAACTGAAACTTTATTGGAATACTGGGATATTGAAAAATTTGCGGAATATAAAAGGCAAGTTGCGCATGGTCGACGAGTCACCACTCACGGTTCACACCGAATTCTCGACAACAGTCGACAATACTCAAAACTCCAGGGATAACTGAGCTCCTTCCCAACCAAATATAATTTTTACCGCCATTTTCCTCCTTTTGCTTTTTTAACATTTTTTGCGTGTATAGTTTTGACAGTGAAATTGCATTTAAAAAACAAGATGATGAGAAAGAAAGTTGAAAAAGCCAAAAACCATATTCAGATAGGGCACAATCGACGTCCACCTTCATTTTTGGGGGCAAAAAAAAAATTATAAACTCCCAAAGAGATAGAATGTCACAAGCCGGGGTTGATTTGTCCTTACACCCAGAAAAATGTTTTTTTTTTCAAATCAAAAAAGTTTTTATTTGAATTGTTTTATTTATTTTAAGAATATTTTTGTTACAAATGAATAAATTTGTTTACATGTTCCAGAAAAAGAATTTAATTATAGCAAACAAACAATTTATTGATTTAAAATGAAGAGTTGTCTTATCTTGAGAAAATCACATTTTCGTATATATTGTGAAAAAAAAATCCAAATTGTCTTTCAACAATATTGGTGGGCTATGTGGAGAAAGGTCGTATTGACCATTTTGGGTGTTGCAAGCCAACTAAGTGGGAGAAAATCATCTTTTCCTCGTTTTCGATCAATTTTTATGCGGAATTTTCAATCATCAATCATTAAATGATTTTTATTAATATGTGTGTAAAGTTATCAATCGGAGCAATAATTGTTTTTTTTGTTCTGTATAATAGTCGAAATGTTAAAAAATGAATTCAAATTATAAACATGAAATTATAAAAAAAAATATTGACATTGAATTGTTATTAAATTATCGATGTTTTACAATTGGTCATTGAAAGAAAAAGTCGGCTTTACAGTACATTAATTATTGACGCGTCGATAAAAATGTTAAATTGAGTTGAATTATGTTGTCTAGTAGAAAGCAAAAAAAATGAAAATTGGAAAGTTGTTGAGAAAATAATAACTGAAAAGGCAATAATGTAAATGAAATGAGTTGATAAATTAAGTTGTTAAATTGAGTTGGATTACGTTATCTTTTAAACAGCAAACAAAAAAAATAAAAGCACAAATTTAAAAAATTTGGTCAATTATTGAAAATGCAATAATTTAAATTACTTCCTCCCTTTGAATGGGGAAGTTAATGAAATCCTTTGATATGTTGCAGTTGAAAAGTCGCCTAGTTGAAGACGTGCTACCAGAAATAAAGTTATACAGTTTTATATGAGTGTTCGAAAACTGGTTTTACCTGTCCGAAAACTAGATCGTTGACGGTACGCCATGTTTTCTATTTTTCCTTTTTTTTTATTCATCGATTCTCTGAATTAAAGTAAGACCGCGGTGAAATTTTCGTTACAGCTAGGCGCTTGTTAACAGTCTGTTGGTCGCGCTATGAGCGTCGCGCCGCACTTTTTCCGATTTTTTAAATTACATGCCAGTAAAGCCTTAGAAAAATTTGAAAAAATTTAACCTCATTTTGAAGTAGTTGGATTTTCAAATTATCATTCCGAAATTCGAGGCCGTGTGCCGTGTATAAGACGAATTTTTAGAAAACCATGGCATCTTTGAGCTTAAATATATAATTAAGGGTAACACTGAACATGAAAAATCTCACGGTATTTCTTCAACTATACAATCTAGATCACTCGGAATTTTTCTCAGATTTTTCCTAGATCTTTCAAATTTATCATTATGGCGATTTATGCTGGTGCGGCGCAGCGCTTACGGCGCCACCAATGGCGTTCGTAACTTTTACGCGACCAACGGAGTGTTAAGCGAATTTTTGTACATAATGGGATATGTTGAAAAATCTGAAAAATCATTACAACAATCGATTTTGCCCCGGGAATCAATGAAAGGCAATGTTTTTCCTTTTCAGCTTTCAAATTTTTTGGGTGTTTAAATTTTTATCTGATTGGAATTTTTTTTATCCTTCAAAATGTTTATTAAACTCCAAAGAAGAAAGGTATGCTTCCGTTTTACGATCCATCGGTTATGATACGTAATGTAATTTTAAAAAATTAAGATTTAGAACGTTTTTTATTTTTGTCGGTGTCTAGGAATTGGAAAAAAACGGTATTCAAAACACTTCAATTCTTGCGGAATCACCAACGCTTTTTTCAAAAAATCCGTCAGTCTGGTAAAGCGCCAACGGCCGTGTTGGGGTTCTCAAGTCACTTGAGTCAAGTGCGACGAACAGGAGATGGGGGTAACAATAAGGGGCCTTAAATGGGTCATAAAGCCATTAGGGACCCAGGTATACTTTACAACCTTTTAATATATTCAATTAGGACATCTGTAACTGTGGCTATCGGGGATCCTTCATCATCTTCCCCAATTAGATTTCAAATCTAATAGCGAGGTCGAACCCTCGTGACAAAAGTACGAGAGAATTCAGGGAGTATCTAGAAATTTCGATAGAATTCAACGAATTTTTAGAAATTTCTAGAGACTTCAAGAAGTTTCTAGAAAACTCAAAGGAATTCAAGAAGTTTCTAGGAATTCCGAGATAATCGAGAAGTTTCTCGCAATTTTGAGGGAATTCAAGGAGTCTCCAGAAATTTCACAGGAATTTGAGAGGTTTCAAAAAATTTGAAGCGAATTTCAGAAGAAAAATCCAATCTCTTCAATTCCTGATTATGTTATAGGAATACATGAGAATGAGCGATAATATAAATTTTATGGAAATTGTAAAGCTCATGATTTTTATTTTTATTCCGAACCTGTGTAAACCACCAAAGAATGAATTAAAAAATAAGATGCAGAAAAAACAGTTACCTGGGCAACGCCGGGCACACCAGCTTATTGAATTATAAAATGATTCTCATTGATTTAAAAAATTTAATCATATTGAACACACTCTAATAAATTTGCAAGGTTTGTCGTTGCATGTTGTTATGGTATCGGATCATGGAATCAATTATAAACAATATTAATATGTTATAAATATTCGCATTCGGAAAATTTTCCTAACAGTACACATCGACGGACTTTGCTAAGATCAATCTGCGATAATTACTCGTATTTTTTCATTTCAGCTTCAGCCACTAATATCGATGGGGCCATCACCAGGGAAGCAATATGATCCACTCAAGGAATTAGATGCGATAGAACCAATGAATGTAAAAAAGCCTATAGAGGGTAAAAAAGTGGAGAAACTGAGTGAGAAGAAAAGTTCTGCCGTGAGCAGTGGTTCATGGTTCGGTGGTCTCTTTAGTAAACTTACTCCAAAACCGAAAAATCAGATGATATTGCCAGATGATAGTAATCCAACAGTAAGTTTTCTCTACTGTTTTTCATTCAATGTAATAATAGATGTGGATATGAATCACTTGTTTTTTAATTTTCATTAATTTTATGTACTTTTTGATCCAAGATTGTATGGGACCCAGTAGCTAAAAAATGGACAAACAAAGATGAGACTAGCGAGTCTGGTTCCTCAAGTCTTGCTCCACCACCAAAAGCTGCGGACATGAGTCTCCATCAATCACGAGTAGAATCCCCTAACCCTTTACCTCCTCAACCAGCTCTTAATCTACTTAACAGGGAAGAAGTTACAACTCCAAATAACTCTAAAATAATGAATCGAAGTAATATGTTTAAACTGCAGAAGGGCAGGGGGATGCGAGCCAATTATATCGATGTAATGAATCCTAATGCATCCAAGGGGAATATTCCTTCGATTCCTACTCCAGCTAACTCGCCACTTATGCCAATGGCTGCGTCATCACCACAAATGTTCATTCCTGCTCCTGGTAAAAACTTGACTGCAATCATCAATTGATTGAAAAAAATTTGCATTCTATATTAAATTTTTTTTATTGATATTGAAATTTTGTTTCAGTCAACGATCCTGACGCCCCTTTGAATTTCTTGACACCAACTCAAGCTTCAATTCCATCTCAGGAAAATAATTCTCACGTGGTAAGTTTACAATAGATTCTATTATTCTCAAATTAACCCTAGTTTGGTCAACATGTAAGCACACTTGCGATTTGGTCACCTCCGCGGAGATTGGCTGCCGTATTATTTTGGCTCGAACGTTGCCGAATTTACCGTACACTGCCTGGGCGCATTTAGTGAGTGTCCGGCAACGTTGCACAATGGGTAGTTTCGTTGAATATAGGAAAAAATTATTCGTCTCTTCGAGATAATTTGTTTCCTTGAGGAATTCTGTATATAAATAATTTTAAAAAATGATTATAATTTTCTAGACACTTGAATTGACGAATTCATTTTTTTTACAATTTTTCTGCTCTGCCAGTCAATGGTAAGAAAACGAAAACGACATTCTGCGCCGATTCCCTTCTATGGTGACCAAACTAGGGTTAACCCTACAAGTTACAATGTATGTAACTGTTACACACATTGTAGAGCGGTGAGGCAATTTAACAGTGATCATTTTCGTGCTATCCCGTTCTCAATAGTGTGGTGTAAGGGTTTGTTCATGTTCCTTTTCCCCTAAAGGTCCGTTTTGCAAACGGAGCTTTAGCTAATGGTCCATTGAAATAACACATGGAGCGCTCTGGCGAAACGGATGATTGGGCAAATGGACCGTTTGTTAAACGGGCCTTTAGAGCAAAAGGTACATGAACAAACCGGCCTTAAATCGGTCAAGTTGCTGTCATGGGGTTCCTGTGAATAGAAGCGGGGATGTTTTTGCGTGCATGATTTTCGATATTCCATTATTTTAGCTTTTCTTTGTTCTTATACATATTCTCATGCTTCTTTCCTATTGCTCAATGTTACTACCTGACATATATATTACTACAGGTATAGTGTTAATTTGGTGGTATAATCTAACCAAAACTTCTTTTTTTTATACACCTACACGGAAAGTGCACTTTCCGCCCACGCTCCCAGAGAACCAAATGTGGCATTTCACGCTATTTCAACGAGTGAACATTAAAAAAAACATTTTTAATGAGAATAGGGGTTATTGAAAGATGGCCCACAAATATTATTCACCGTTGAAAAAACTTCGAAATTATTTTTAACTTCCTGACCCATAAGTGGATTTTCCATGATTTATCGGCGTTTCAGACCCTTAGAATCATTCTGACTCGTTTTTGAAGCCGTGTATGCGCGTGTGTGTGCGTGTGGGCGCGTGTATACGTGCGTGTGTGTGGGTGTATGTGTGTATCATTTAAAAAATTATTTGAAAAATTATTGAAAAAATTATTTTAAAAATTGTTTTTTTTTAATTCAACCATTTTGCCGCGAGTAATGAGAGTATTTGAGTTTTTTATACGATCAATGGATCTACATGTTATTAACTTCCCACCCCCAAGGGAGGAAGTTATTGTAATTACCCCGAAAATCAAAAGTGGAATTTTCATGATTTGTCGCCGTTTCATGACTCCTACAATCATTGGATTAGATTAGAATCATTCGATTTTGATTGAATACTGAGCAGAATCATCTGAACGGTTCTCGCGTTATCCGCATGGAAATTAAAAAAAAAAAATTTCCATTTCAAAAAGTTTTTTCTAACCAGACGGGCGTGCGTTATGGCGGTTGCATGAGATCAATATGTCTTTTTGTTTGCGAATGGAAGCATTGCAATCGTTCAATTTCTACTTTTGCTAATTTTGCTTGGAAATGATGTAGAATGGTCTGAAACGAAAAAATACGAAGTTTAAGCACCTCGTGTGTGTAAATGGTCATCGGGTGGTCACTTTTTCGTAAATTGAATGAATAAATGGCTAAAACACTTCCAAAAAAATTGTCAGATTTTTGGCAGATATTTGGTATTGAATTGGACTAACTCTGTGTAAAATTTCAGCCCCATCGGTCCATTAGTTTTTGAGAAAAAGCAATTTGTTTTTTTTTGGTTTTCGTGAATATCTCAAAAACTATGCAACCGATTTCAATATTTTTTTTTCAAAATGTTCGTCTCGATGTCTTCTATCTCAATCAATCAAAATATGTATACCCGTCCACACAAAGTTTTCGAAATATTTAAATTTTGCAGTTTTTTTGTTTAAAATCCTGTGTACGGTCTCTCACTTTCGCAAAAATCGAGATATCAACTTGAAATTTGGCATGGAGTTATCTCTTATCATTGTGATGTTTTGTATTGAACCTGGGCTGAATCCGATGAGTAGTTCCTGAAATATTCAATTTTGTATGTAAATATATTTTATGCAATATCTCAAAAATTATCCAACCGATTTCAATATTTTTTTTCTCAAAATGTTCGTCTCGATTTCTTCTATCTGAAATATCAATTAAAATATCGTTAAATATCGTAATTATTTCAATTAAAATATTGTTATACAAAAATCGAAACCAAGCTGAATTTACAATAAACATTATGAAATTCGATTTTTTAGTAAAAAAAAACTCACATATGTTAATGAAAACTAGCCTCAATCTAATAATTCAGGGGTAAATTTCAAGGTAATTTAATATATTTTCACCTGAGCATAAAATATCTCTACAGATTTGAACAGAAACCGAGCAAATCTCGTCATTGAGAGGAAAACCATGAACATTTTCGAAACGTGACATTCGAAAATCACTGCATTATCGCAGAGAACAACTGATCTGGTGGATGGAATAAATGAAATGGGGTATCAATTTGAAGATCTCCATGAAACGTTCAAACTGACATATGATTTATCCTCGCAGGCCATATCTAAAGCCTTGATGAATGGCAAAAACTAATTCTCGGCGCGTGACATAACGTAAAAAGTGGAAACAAATTGCTCGTGTGTTACATATAGCACAGTTATTTTTGCTAATAAATGAGCAATATGCTTCCGAATGATTATTTTGCATATCATTTCCGTCTATCATGTATAATTAATTGTTTATTTTGTTTGATTGAATTGCATACGATTTCTTTTTATCTAATTTTGTCCAATTTTCAACTTAGTGAATCTTATTATTATCATCATTGTTATTATCCTTTTCATCTATACAACCGAAATTTACTCCAAAATTATTCCAACCGTTTCCATTCGTCTTCAAAAAACTCCAACTTCTTCACCCATTGACAGTCATAGCAGCAACTCAAATAATAATAAATAAAGGAAAGAATCCAAAGGAAAAATATGAAAAACAAAGTTTTCTTCATTAGGGCATTAATTTATTCTGCAGACAAACCAACAATATTTTTACCATGAAACATTACCACAAACCAATTCTACTTAATAATCTATTGCAGTATAAAAGAATCATGAAAATTACATCACATACCTAATAATGAACCCATTAGTTATTCATAGGTTTTGACAAAAATGTCGTTAAAAATGTCGAATTTCCAATTTTCTTCCAATCATTAACTGAATTAACTGTGAGTTCCCCATATTTTTTAATAAAAAACATTTCCAAGATGTCAAGCATAAAACCACTAGTTCCTAAAATTGAAGAGCTTTTAGATATATCGAAACTCGCTTGATAGAGTTATTTTCATCAATCGAAGACTTTCAAACTCCACCCTGGACCTCCCTTCAGTTGTCGCATAATGAGGGAATCCCCACAGTTTGTGGATTTTTTCTTTTCATACAAAAACTTCGTGAATGAAACACACATAAAAATTTATATTCCTACTTTCAAATATATGGAATACATCAACTTTTTTTTTCGGTCCAGACATACACCAATGAATTACTAAAATCTTATGAAAATTCGAGTCACAAAAAATCCCCATCTTTGACCTGAATATTTCATAATGTTGCACTTTTTCAAATCGAGTTCTAGGATTATCTGACAACTATTTCGCTTCCATACCCCCATTTTCCATTCATTGACTGTTCAAAATTATCTGTGAACGTGGAATTAGTATAATTCGTCACTAAGCCGAAAAAAATTGATCTGGCGAATATTAGTTTGCAGCCCGAGCCGAAGGCGAATCGCGTGTTCTTAATTTTCACACCTTTTCCAAATCACTTTTCCGAAGGCGGATCACGTGTTCTTAATTTTCACACCTTTTCCAAATCTTTTTTCCCCAATCCGCCTAAATTTTTAGCATCAATCTCAAACAAACCTTTTTTGCAGATTTCATTCTTTCCTACAAGAAAAGTCTTCACCAAGAAATCGATATTTTGCTTCAGTTTTGAGATGTTGTAAAAAAAATAATTGACAACTGAATCAGGAGATAATTCGTTAATGAATATCTCTGACTATATGGTAGATGGAAAAAATTTTATAAGAGCTTTTTTGTAGATCTCATTCTGCTGTATAAAAGAGAGTTATTTGAGTTGAGGATCTAATTTTAGGGTGGATGTGGGAGGTGTTGTTTCAGGATAGGCTGGAAATTAATCAAAGTGCTGAATTCTAAAAACTTCACTATATTTAGTGGAATCGAACCACTTCGTTAATCGTTATATTTACACTTTGGTTTCAACTAGTTTGTTGAATATCTCAAAATATTAATACAGAGGTTGATGTACTGAATTGTTGAACAATTTTAAATGTCTTTGACAATTGTCTCTGATAATTCACTGAATTTGAGAAGGTGATGTAGTTTCACGTGATGCTACAATTTAATACCCGTGCGATCTTCTCAATAGCTAGATTTCAACTACTTTTCGGGGGTTTCGCGATCCCCTGACCGCTCAACCGAAGATTCCCGACGATGCTCGAGGATTGTCGATTGTCGAGAAATATTAATTTATTAAATATTTATTAAATGATTTATTAAATTACTCATTATATATATACATATATATGTATATATTGTAACGTGTTATTTTTGTCTTTCGACCGTTCTGCGGTTTCATTTAAACATCCAGACGAGAAGTCACTGCAAAAGCGAAGCGAGAGTCAAAATCTAGATTTTTGTTCGACTATTTATTGAGTATCTTTTTGGTTTGTATTGAATCATTCCACTCCACCGTTCATCGGAGCACATCGGGGGATCTGGATGAGCCTGAACGAGGACTGGGATGAGATGCAAGAATTTAGATGCTGAAATT